GTTGCGGTCAGGTCCGGGCCGCTGACGTGACCTGCACTCGGTAACTACACGGAGAAAGAGCACTGGCCAGTGCCAGTTTCCGCCTATGCAGTCACAAGATTCGGTGAGAGTAAGGTGACTTCGCCTCTCTGAAGATCAATGATTCCCATTATCAGTCGTATTACTCTCACAGAATATTTTGACCGCCGAGACGGGAACCGTTGGCAGTGATAGCTGTAATTTGTCTTCTCAGCATAATCTGCGACCGGAACTAGCCCGCCTCCACTGATGTAGCCGGTCAGGTCTGTACCACCGTCTACAACTGGTGATCTGAGGTCAAGGTCGAAGCGGCCACTGGACATGGGGATGCAAAATTTTCCAAACAGCATGTCACTGATGTTCTCGGTGGCGAGGCGGCTGACCGGTACCATACTCGGTTACCTGGTCGCCCACACTTGCTACAAAGCTTCGAATAAGCCCGGCTCTTGAAGACCGCGCTCCAACGCCTACGTTATCTATATATATAGTTATAAGAGCGCGGTACTCTTACAGAGTAGCCCATATCGTCAACCCCTCGAGTCATTCAATAGACTGCTGACACCGCTGATTGTCAGCAGCGGTATGCAGGAGCGGATGGAAAGACAGGGGATATACTCTACGCCTGGAGGTAGTCGCATTCCAAGGTACACATGCCCCAGCACGGGAACTATAGTGTCCTCCAGCCGTGATAAAGCCAAGTGCGGCCGAACTTGCATCGAGGCGTGGCGGTGGTCACCGTGTATGGCTAGCAACAGGACGCGTTGGTGACAGCTTTCGCTCTCGCATTCCGTCACATGACACTTGGTTTGGTTTCACGACAACGTCGCTACTCGCATGGTGATCCGCGGGCCACCTTTCTTTGCCTTACCACGCCAATTCCCATCACTATTATTTGCCTTACCACAACAATTGTCATCACTAGTCCGGCAGAGCGTCTGTTACTCCCCGCCCTCGGTGTTCAGCATGACATCATAAAATCAGCGTCAACTCATCGGATCATCTTCAAAAAGCAGCACGTCTTCAGCGCCGAATGTCCACTATTCTGCAGGGGTTCACGCGGTATGTAGCGTTCTCTGTGCTTTACACGCACTTGGACCCACGGGGCGACCTGGCTACCACTACTGCATCCACCGGAAAAGACGCCAAGGCCACCATAAATATTGGGGAAGCAAAAATTATTTCGAAAATTCGGGGAGCGCGTCCCCCCCCCCCCCTCTATCCCACGGGTCGTTGCCCCGTGCCGCCGAGCCCGGAAGCTGATGCGGCATTTCCCGGCCGCGGGCCGTCTTTTTCGGCCGGTCTGCAGTCGGCGCCAACCGCAGACTCCCGATCAGAGCAGCCGCGGCCGGCTGTAGTGGACGGGCCGGGACCTATCGACAGTGACGCACCCAGCACGCGGAGACGGGCGAGCTCCGGGGAGGAGATTGAAAATCACCAATCAATCAATCAATCGTTCACCCTCCCCCTACATTTCTCACGACAACTTCATGCTGAAGCAGCACCCCACCGAACTCGTTCCTGGCGGCGACCCTGAGCATCATCCACCCCGACGTGCACCGCGCCTCAAGCGGCGAGAACAGAGCACGGCCGCACCTCTCCAGCCGGCACCGGTGGCCCCGCAGAGCAAACCCGGCCACCGACCCCCTGCCGCACGGACCGCCCGGACGCACTGGCAACCAGCCGCGCGGCATGGGTCACGGGTCATAGGTCACAGGTCACAGTCCATGAATCACGGTCACGAGACACAGTCAGTCACGGGCCACGAGTCATGGGTCACGGGTCACAGTTCAAGGATCACGATCACGATCACGGGTCACGGACCACGGGTCATGTTCCACAGGTCACAGGCCACAAGGATCACAGTCAAGATCACGGTTCACGAGTCAAGGGTCATGGAGCACGGCGCGGTTGGACGTCGTGGCGTCGTCACCAACGAGTCGTGGAAACAACGCCCTCTAAATGCGTCTATACCGCGCAAAAGTCATGAAGGCTAAGGTAAATTTGTCCCAGGAGCGGAACGGCAACTGCAGGCGTCGCCAGAGGCGAGGGCCCGCTGAATTCTGTCTTCACTTCTTCCCCGTGACCCTTCGGTGACCTTCGGTCGGCATGACGCAAGATCGGAACGGCCGGGACTAGTCTCCGCCTCACTCCATGATTAGAACATGATCCGCTTGTGATTACATTGCACTGCATGAAGCGCTCACGACGTTACAGGTAACGGGGTCGGTTATCATACAGGTTACGGCGAGAAAATCAAAACGTGGGCGGTCATAGGCTTCCGTGATGAGATCGCAGGCTTCCGTGACAATGAGGTCGCAAGCTTCCATGTGTGTCATTGGGGCTTTACGACGCACTCAGCTGCTGAGGCTATATGGCGTCCCCTGCCTCTCACCCTGACAGGAAGGGCGGGCACCGCGGGGAATCGAACCCCGTACCTCTGGTTTCCCACGCAAGCTTCCATGATGAGGTCGCAAGCTTACATGATAATGAGGTCGCAAGCTTCCAGGATGAAGTCGCTCCGACTTTGCGAAGCTGACAGGGCCGCGCACGATAAAGACGGGGCGGGGGTAAAAACAGCCTCATGTCTGGAGAGCGCAACACGTGGCGATGATGATGGGCTGCCACATGTCTGGAGAGCGGGACACGTGGCGATGATGATGGGCTCACAGACCACCCTGACAGGGACGCTTACGATAAAGACGGGGGGGGGGGGGAGTGTGGCTAAAAACGGCCTCATGTCTGGAGAGCGGCACACGCGGCGATGATCTCATGTCTGGAGAGCGGCACACGCGGCGATGATCTCATGTCTGGAGAGCGGCACACGTGGCGATGATCTCATGTCTGGAGAGCGGCACACGTGGCGATGATCTCATGTCTGGAGAGCGGCACACGCGACGATGATCTCATGTCTGGAGAGCGGCACACGCGGCGATGATGATGGGCTTACAGACCACTCGGTTACAGACCACACAGTCCTGTGCGTCATTTTTATTTTTAAGGACTCGACGCATGCCTCAGTGCCATGCCTAAGGACTCGATCTCGCCACTGCATTTCAGTGCAATGCAGTGGCGAGATCATTGGCGCTCGTGGGCATGGCGCAACAGGGATACCAGTTTTGGTTGGTACTTGTGCGTTTGGGTGTCTCCGAATGGACAGGCAAAGCAGCCACCAATGCCGGCGTTTTCTATGGCAACAAGCCCTGATTGGCCCCCTTGGCTGGCCGTCCCTCGCTGCACCGCTGCGCCGCGCTCGACACTCACGCAGTCCCTCCCTCTCTCCCCCCCCCCCCCTCTTCTCCCTCCACTATGGTGTCTCCGGCTCGGTGTAAAACGCACAGCAGGGCGTCCATACCGTGCGACACGCCCAAAAACTATACGTGCGTTGAACGGAGTGAGCAGCCACGTGGAACCAGAGGTAATAACCGGTAATAACCGGAGCTGTGGCCACGACCGAGGGTAGATGCCACTGGCGACTTGGCGCCTTCCAAACTGCTTTGGTTGATAGTCTGCCTCAGCCCGCCCTCTGCAGGAAAGTGAACGATGAACCTGCATCAGAAACTTCGCGCCACAGCAAATACGCTCCAAACGAAACGTGCTCCCGGTGACACTAAACCTGCGTCCGGGGTCACCTTCACCCCGCAGCAGCCAGTGCTCAGCACACGGCCCCCACCCCCCGGCAGCCAGCGCTCAGCACACGGTCCGCCTCAGCAGTCAGCGCTCAGCACACGCCCCCCTCCGCCCCCCCCCCCCCAGCAGCCAGCGCTCAGCACACGGCCCGCCTCAGCAGTCAGCGCTCAGCACACGCCCCCCTCCCCCCCCCCCAGCAGCCAGCGCTCAGCACACGGCCCGCCTCAGCAGTCAGCGCTCAGCACACGGCCCGCCTCAGCAGTCAGCGCTCAGCACACGGCCCGCCTCAGCAGTCAGCGCTCAACACACGGTCCGCCTCAGCAGTCAGCGCTCAGCACACGCCCCCACCCCCCCAGCAGCCAGCGCTCAGCACACGGTCCGCCTCAGCAGTCAGCGCTCAGCACAGGGCCCGCCTCAGCAGTCAGCGCTCAGCACACGGCCCGCCTCAGCAGCCAGCGCCCAGCACACGGCCCGCCTCAGCAGTCGTGCACGAAACGCTGAACCGCACCACAATTCAAACACTTGGCGCACACGCCGCCGGACACACTGCCGACAACGATAGTGTATAAGCGCAAACCGGCTGTTGCTATTCGGAGCGGGGTGCCGGCTAGGTCACGTGCGCACCGTCACGCGCCAGAGGGGGGGGGGGCAGCCACAGCGGTGGGGCCCCTCCCCCGCCACAGCACACTCGCCACAGCGGAGGTGCTCTGACGTGAATGCTGGCGCCTCCGGACGTGAATGAATCGGACTTTTGTGCCGCCGACGGACAGACCGCCGCCACGGAAGTGGCTCGGGTGGCTGGAGTGCGAACGTGAGCTCGCTCTGACACGCGAGCTTGCGGCGTTGGCGCTGCAGCGCGGCGGAGTCCAGTGTTCCGCCCGTGTCCGTGCTCGTTGACTACTGCGCACCGCGAGGGCGTCAGCCGCAATGGGACGACCCGGCGAGGCGCGCGCTTCCGACACGGCTCGTCAGTGGCTTGGCCGCCAGCGGAGGCGACGGGCGATGCGACCCGCGACGTGTTCGGAAGTCCCGGCTCGTGGTGGTTAGTTAGACCTGTTCGCCGCCGGATGCGACGGCTGCCTCCCGGCGGCAGAGCTAGGCAGACGGCCGGCACGCCCTCGGCCACGGTAGGCCACGGCACGGGTGCAACTTTCTGTCCAGTTGGGCTTCCAGCCCCCTCCCCCAAACCCTAACTTTGTCCCCTGAAGAAGTGGGTCGAATTATTGTTGTTGATTGGAGGCGGTAGGGCGCGCCGACCACCGTGGTCATTTTGCGCCCAAAGTGGATCGAATTCAGAAACATGCCCAAACGGCCCAGATGCCGCAGGTCAGACCCGGGCCGTGTGGCACACTCACGTGGTCGTCGACTGAGTAGGTGAGCTCGCCGTCGTCGTACAGCACGAACCAGCGTCGCTGCCACCGCTGCAACAGAAGTGGGTCCAGGTCAGCGGCGAGTCAGGGGTGGATCCAGGTCAGCGGCGAGTCAGAGGTGCGCCCAGGTCAGCGGCGAGTCAGAGGTGCGCCCAGGTCAGCGGCGAGTCAGAGGTGGGTCCAAGTCAGCGGCGAGACAGAGGAGGATCCAGGTCAGCGGCGAGACATAAGTACATCCAGGTCAGCGGTGAGACAGAGGTGCGCCCAGGTCAGCCGCGAGACAGAGGTGCGTTCAGGTCAGCGGCGAGACAGAGGTGCGTCTAGGTCAACGGCAAGGCGTGCTTCAGAGGGTTTTGTCAGTTATCGGCGGTGCCGAAGACCATTGTAGGAATACAACCGCTGATTTGTGGCCATCTCGATGTTGGAGGCATGTGCGAGGGGAGGAGGGGACGGGTCTCATTGGGGCAGCCAGGTTAACATTGGCATGGCTCGAGAGGCGCAATGTTTCATCTACGGCAGGCCGCAGACAACGGCAGGAGTCTATCGAACGCATACAATGTGTGACATGGCCAAAACATTACACGAGGAAACGATAATCGACGGGATGTTTGCGAAACGCATCCATTCACCATCCTTTCGAACGTTTTCAATTGTCAGTTTCCTGTTAAACTCCCAAGCACAACCATTTCAACACGCGAAGCCACGTGCTGACGTGGCGCCAGCCAGCCCCCCGGCGGCACCGAAGTGGCGTGTGGCGTACGGTTGTACCGTGCTTTTGGAGCCCCATGTTGGTACCGGCGCACCGCCAGCCGCATTATCCGCCAGACGGTTCCTCTCCGACGTGAGCGGCTGGCCAGCGCCACAAAAAGCGCGCCAACCAGCGGCCGCGCGCCGGACGTGCGCCCTGCGCCGAGTCTCTCCGCGGCGGCTAAAGTCGGCCCGTCACGGGCGCGGGCGCAGAAGGCCGGCCCGTCCGGTGCCGAGTCTCTCCGCGGCGGCTAAAGTCGGCCCGTCACGGGCACGGTCACAGAAGGCCGACCCGTCCGGTGCCGAGTCTCTCCGCGGCGGCTAAAGTCGGCCCGTCACGGGCGCGGGCGCAGAAGGCCGGCCCGTCCGGCGCCGAATCTCTCCGCGGCGGCTAAAGTCGGCCCGTCACGGGCGCGGGCGCAGAAGGCCAGCCCGTCCGGCGCCGAATCTCTCCGCGGCGGCTAAAGTCGGCCCGTCACGGGCGCGGGCGCAGAAGGCCGGCCCGTCCGGTGCCGCTATCAGACACGGATCATGGCTCTGAGTGGCGCCAAATTTGGGCGGCGCGAGCGTTCCATCGCGGCGACGGACACACGAGACCCCGGGGACACCAGGAGGAGGAGGACACTGGGGAAGCCCACCAAAGAACCAACCAGTAAGAGGGGGCATCTCAAGAGCCGGCCGACAAATGACATCGAATTTGGGTGGGGGACCTTGCAACAGTTTGACGTTGCTCGGGCTTCATCACGACATCCAGCAGACTGAAGCGCGGCGCAATTACTTATAAACATAATCGTAAAATTCGACACGGTATTGAGCTGCATTCGCTGCAAAGCGAGGAGACCCTGGGCTGCGACGACCCATATTTTGCAATGTTTAACATCGAATCGCTAGTGAAATTGGGCGGGAAGTGGACGACAAGGACGGCAGGAGCGCATGTATCCGCCGGAATGACGGCGGAAGCAGTCCCGTAAAGTAACAATCGAGACCGATCATCGTTCGTGACAGAGTGTTGACACGTGGCAGGAGTGCTGATTCGACTAAGGACCATTGACTCGTGAAAAGAATGTTGTCAGTTGTTTACGACGCAGCAACCCAGCACTGATACCAACTGCGTCGCCATGCTCCCTCGAATGGCTTCTGAATCTGCAGCTTTGCAACTGCACTACATAGCAGTGCCGACGGCTTCTCATCGACGCGCACAGTCCTGATCGTGTCATCGGTTTGTTATCGACGCAGCCTAGCCGGATACTTGTGTGCCCGTCCCCCAAGGTCGCAGGGTACAGCCGTCTAACCGATAGCAAGGTGAACGAAACTCATGCCCTTTGACGTCAGAGGCCAATCGACTTACTTGAGGCTTTGGCAGTCAATGGCGGAACTCTGAGAGAGCATCAGAGCGGCCGGGTGCTCGGCAGAGACAGAGAAGCCCGTAAAGGATGCAGTGTGCCAGCTGCTTTCATCACGCCAACCGCCACAGTATCGAGGATGAAGACTTGAAGCCGCACCGACAAGTCTTCCCAAAACACAGCTGCAGCGTGCAACCCCTTCCCAAAACGTTGGCACCTTTTGCGGAGAGGCAACTGACGTCCAACAACGAACCAGGCCGCCGAATAGATCACCAGGCCGCCGACTAGACCACTAGACTACCAGGTCGCTGACTAGACCACCACGCCGCCGACTAGACCACTACACTACCAGGTCGCTGACTAGACCACCAGGCCGCCGATTAGACCACTAGACTACCAGACCACCAGACCGACACTACACACGTTGCCCAGCGTAGCTGTCGACTTCAAAGGCGGCGCGTGGCCTGCGCCTGGCCGTTTCAGCAGCGCCAGCGCATCTTCCGACACGAATCTCCGGCTCTAGCGCCCCTCCGGCGATCCCGGTACCGGAATAGAACTCGTTATCGGGCTGCGAGAGGCCCGGCACGCGACGCCGGGGGGGATGCGCGGCCGGCCACACAGGGCGTGACCTCTGGTCGCTCGGCTATCATCTGGACCATCACAGCCCCGCAGACAAAAGGCGTAAAAAGGAGGCGGGAGCGGAGGCCGCGTGCCGCCCCGGAAAAACTTGTCGCCGGATGAGCCTTGAGCCCCGCTGGCGGGCCACGATGCCAGCCGAAGTCACGGGCGACTCGCTGGCTGGAGCGGCTGAAGACCGCGCCAGACCAAGACGGGGCGAGCCTGCTACCAAACGGCAGCCCAAATGGACCCACGACAGCGTATGGTGACGATCCGTGATGACGATCGGGGGCGAGCCGCACCCGCTGCATGCCGACGCGATGCTCATCCGACGAGATCGCCGAGACCGCCAGAGAGCAACGTGCTTCCTTCACGAGCTCGTGCAGGGTGAACGCGAGCTCTCGCTCCTCCTGCCAGGCGCTGAGTAGACGCAGCGCGGCGCCGAGGGGCGAGCCCAGCCCTCGCTCTCCCCGCAGAACCCGACGGTCGTGAGTGAGCCTGGGTCAATGATTGTTGACGATCCGTTCTCGATGCCACGTGTTGTTTCAATGGGCGCCACCGGTCGCCGGACTCCACGAAAGTCGAGGTCGCGGCGCGCCAGAGAGCGCCGGCGCCGACGCCTACCGCCGCTGCGAACCGAGCGTCGGACTTGGGGCAACGCTGGCTCTCGCCGGCGCCGACGCCAAAAGCGCCCGCCAACTTCTGCGTCAACTGCACACGAGCCTGCAGCTGTCAACGCGCGGGCAGCGCTGCCCACTCCGGTGTTCGACAACACCGCGGCCGCTCCCGGTGCTGCTCAAGCCGGTGCTGTCCCCACCACGGCGCAGCCCTGGGTCAAGCCCAGTCAGCCCACCAGGTGTGGGCTCGGCCGCCGGCGGCCCACGCTCCCGGCCCGCGGCGGCCTTGGCCAACCGGCGTGCCGACTAGAAAGTGCCGCACGCCACATGCACGCACGTGCGCCGCCGTCCGTCGACCCGGCGGCGGTGGTGGCGCGGCGCGGCTAATTCCGGCGCGCCGGCACGTGCCGCGCAGATGTCGGCGAACGCGACGCGCCGGCGCCGCCCGCGGGCTTCCGGTCACCGGGTGGCCTGCCCGAGAACAACAATCGCGGTGGGGCATGCGAGCCCAGCCGAGCCACAGCCGGCACATGTAGTCAGGTTTCTCTGCGTACATGCGAAAAGCTATTTCACGCTTGAGTGAGCAGACTCCGGTCAGCCCCGTGGCGCGTAGCATGCCTGAATGGCAACAGGCTGTAGAAATTGCTGGTTGCGGACGGGGGCGGACTGCGCCTTAAGGGTTGCTGAGGCCCATTACTGTTCCTGTGCTAGTTTATATGGTTGGACGGACGCTGGCTATCAAGGTCCCGCTTCTCAAGCCGAGGTCGCGAGCTGAGTCTTCTTCCCAATCGAAGAAATCGTCGGCATGTGACGTCGCCGACACACCAACCAAGCCGGTGACGTCACATGAGTCGATGACGTCACATGCCAACCATTGTGTGACACCACTGACTCACAGATCCGTCGACGCCCACCAAAGGTCTGAAAAGTCGGCGGTTCCCGGAAGCCGGGAAGTCCGTACAAGCCGTCGCTAGGATCAGCGGCGAGTTTGGTCGATGCACGACTGACGACGGAGCCCGGCGGGTGGTGAGGCGCTCACACGGGAGCAGAGGGCGTGTCACACGGAGACAACATTGAGCAGCGGGTATGTCATACAGAGACTGCAGTGAGCAGCGGGTATGTCTCACAGAGACTGCAGTAAGCGGCGGGTATGTCGCACAGAGACTGCAGTGAGCAGCGGGTATGTCTCACAGAGACTGCAGTAAGCGGCGGGTATGTCACACAGAGACTGCAGTAAGCGGCGGGTATGTCACACAGAGACTGCAGTACGCGGCGGGTATGTCACACAGAGACTGCAGTACGCGGCGGGTATGTCTCACAGAGACTGCAGTAAGCGGCGGGTATGTCACACAGAGACTGCAGTAAGCGGCGGGTATGTCACACAGAGACTGCAGTAAGCGGCGGGTATGTCACACAGAGACTGCAGTGAGCAGCGGGTATGTCTCACAGAGACTGCAGTGAGCAGCGGGTATGTCTCACAGAGACTGCAGTAAGCGGCGGGTATGTCACACAGAGACTGCAGTGAGCAGCGGGTGTGCCATACGGAGACTTAAATGTGCAGCGGGCATGTCACACACAGCCTGCAGGCTTCCCAAAGTTCACGGAGAACGCAGAATCCGCGTCGATGCAATACGTTTCAAAACAAGTATTACTGAACAAAATGCCTGGAGAGGATTCGGTCACCCCGAGCTACATTTCGATGCCAGTGTTGTGCCGAGCCGTCTGGCAAAGCCCATCGAGCGCGCGGTGAAACAGCGCTCGCGGCTTTTCTGCACGACAAACGCGGCAAAAACCGTGCACTATTTTGCTTCGTGACTTCACCTTTGATCTGAAACGAGCCGAAACAAATCAGGACGCATGCATCATTGAGTCAAAGCGCGAGCGCACGCTCTGCAAAACCGCACCGATTGTTCCGTTTGTTCGCCTCTCAGTGCTGCAGGACAGCGCACGGTGGAGGAAGGCTGGCTCAGGCTGGTGCCGTGGACCAGTTTACTGACAACACTACAGCACGCCGATGCCCTGCTGGGAACGACGGGAACGCGCTGCCGCGGCCGCCACTGCTGCGACGGCGGTCACGTGAGCACGTGAAGTATAATTTAATAAAAACATAAACGTGAGCCTCGGTGATTAAATCGGACGTGTGCGTGCGAGGAGCCTTCAGGTATTTAGTATCCTTCACTGGCGGCGACTCGGAGGGCGTCCATACTCCGACCCAACAAATGGCCCATCGTAGCACGCGCACTGCAAGCTCAATCTACAGCACGTTTTGCGGCGCTCAAGAAACCATTAACAGGTGAAACAACGACGCCTGAGCAACAAAGTATTGTGCTTAGTCCTCGAGCGCACCTGAGCCTGGTCTCATCGCAGACCGGGATGCGGCACGTCCCTTACGCGGACCCGTGGTCCGACCTCACGCGGACTCGTGGCCCGACCTCATGCGGCCCCGTGACCTGACCTCATGCGGCCCCGTGACCTGACCTCACGTGGCCC